ATATTCCACATAAAGATGTCAAAGCATCTTTATACAGACACAACATTAGATAGAAAGTCAGAAAGTAAACAAACAAAAAAACACTTCTTTATCGTTCCAACCATTGGAAACCTTCTTATACTATATGTGTTGAAAAGAAATTCATGAAATTGGACAGTTAATCAGTCCTCTATTCCAAGAGCCACTAACAATCATGAATACCCATAATCTTGGATCAAATATTAATAACTGGCTTAGAACTCCCAAGCCTACACTTAATTATTTTGCTATTTAACTTCCTTACGGAGGGTGTACAATGCCACTAGTGTCAAAGAGTTTAAATTATAATTGTCTCAAGAACTAAAAATGGTATTCCAAGACTTTTAAATTAATTTTTTTCTCAATAAAATCCAGAAACATCCCTCTCTCTCTGTCTCTCTCTCTCTGTCTCTCTCTGTCTCTCTCTCTCTGTCTCTCTCTGTCTCTCTCTGTCTCTCTCTGTCTCTCTCTCTCTCTCTCTCTCTCTCTCTCTCCCTTTCTCTCTCAATGTTACTGAAATATGAGATGTTTCATACCCTGGATAACATATTTTATTAAGTGCTAATATCAAAGAGGTGTGAAAAGAGGGAAACATTACTTACCAACTCTGAGTAAAGTACTGTAATTTGCTTAAACTAGGAAAATATGCTAACCTTAAGAGGGAGCAACCCAGCGCCCTCAAATCTGACTGTAAATTGGCAATTGAAACATGGAAAGGGAAGAGGAAAGAAAGTAGTTTTCATTAGGAAAGATACAGGGTACAAAGGAAAGCATCAAGCTGCTACCTCTGTTATATTTTGGAGAGTATTTATTTTATTTTGTTGTATTTCTAGAGACTATTGAATAATTCTTCTGGTCACATTTATGACAATAATTTTTTTAATACTCTAGGTGCTACCAATTTGACTTATAGAATAATAGACAATATAAACCAAGATGTACCTGGGATGAAATTGAATAGCATTCAAAATCTCCCATGTAAGTTCCCTGAGTGTGTTATCTACCTGCAGAGAGCGGAGGAACTTTGCCTTAGGTCAGAAAAGGAAGCAGGGTTCCCTAGTTTTGTGTTGCCATTCAAGTCCAAGTGTCAGATTTAAAACAGACTATTTGCTTAGCCTATGAAAGAGCTATCTTTAGACTGTACTACCTTTTAGTGATTCGTGATAATTTTCAGAGTTAGAAGTAACTCAGAATCCTGGCCCTCATGTGTATCCTTCAGCCCCTTGAAGGGACACCAAGGGCATAGATAAGGAGACAAAGCCAAATGTAACGGTGTTTGCCATACAGTGGACCCACCATGGCATTCCTGAAAAGTAAATAGTCAAATAAGGTGAATATAGACCCAGGTAAATTTAGACCCATGACTCATGCTATCTAATTTTCACTATTCAGAACTGAGTTCTCATCCCTTGCTGACGGGAGAGGCATCGTATGGTCCAGTGAGGCTTCTACCTGAATCCTGAAGCTATGTGATCCCTCCCTTCATAATCTTTCCCTTTTGATATTTGGCTGACAGATCTAATTTAGATTTCAACTGACAGTATGAGCTTGGGTTTTAATTTTGCTAGCAGGTATTATTTACCAGTGGAATGAATGGCTGAATTGTAAACTCTATTACCTGACATAATCAAGGAATAGGTGCTCTAGTTATCAAATATTTTGTTAGCAGGTTAGTGCTATACATGCCATCAATGGATCGCCCATATTCAAAGAATAGATATGATTTATTTAATGATCATGATACACTGTACTCTGAAAGAATGTTATTGACTTGCTAGTTGATTTTCTGTCTCCTCAAAGCAGAACAGATAGATGCTCCCACTCTGAGAACAGGAACACTTGTCAACCTTATCTATTGAAAAAGTGCTTTAGAATTTTACAATTTCTTAGGATTATCATGTACTGTATATGCACAAGTGTGCATATCACAAATTTCTGATTATGAATCATAAAGTTCTGATTAACACAGATAGCTAGATAATGGAGTTTCTTGCATTTTCATTTTAGTCAATTAAAACATTGATTGACCACCTACCTTGAACTCTGCACTTAGTTGCATGAACAGGAAAATAAAATGAAGTATCTGATTGATCTCCTACTCACGATGAGATTTCTGTCCCCAACAGTAAAAGGCTAGATCAGGGCTTGGCAAGCTTTTGAGATGGAAGAGCCACCAGGGGTCAGCAAACTGCGGCTTGCGAGCCATGTGCAGCTCTTTGGGTACGTACATGTGGCTCTGAAGTAAAATTGAAAATAAAACTATCATAGTTTCACTTATAAAATTTTTAAAGGATATTATTCACATAACGCTGACTATGTAAAAATATATTTATGGCTCTCGAATAATTTTTAAATTGTTGTGAGGGACAAGATTGGCTCTTCCAGGGGTCGGCAAACTTTTGGGACGGAACGTACCCAAAGAGCCACAGTTTGCCGACCCCTGCGCTAGACTAAAACCTCTATCCATCCTTTGCAGCTCATTTAAGTCACTAGCAGGGGAGTAACCTCATGCTCTGAGGTTACAGATGAGGGGTTGTATCCACTGAGTTGCAAAATCATGTGGCAAGTTTTGGGATACCAAGGACCTCCCTCAATATCAACACTCTCATTTAACAATTTTCCTCTAAGGGAAATATCTGTGGGAAATTAGCCCTAAAATGTACCCAGATAGAATCTGACTAGGGGATCAAATTTAGCATCACTGATAATGAGGCAACTAGACAGTATGAGCCTTCTGATGTACTAGGCATCACCGTTGATGGTTTCTTGCCAAAAATGTTTGGCTTGATTCAATCAAATCTTTAGCCCTAACTTCCATTTATAGGAAACACCAGGCTAGGGGTTACATAAGAGATACCAGGAAATACAATTACACTAATCTTGAATTTGGGAGAAATTGACCTGGCCTTTTTTTTTAGCTGAGCCATCCTGCCACCTATTGGCAGCTCAGTGGCAGCTCAGCTCAGGCTGGGACTCGAACCGCTGTTGCTCAGAGTTCACACTCTTGAGTGAGTTCTTAACCAACCGAGCCACTCGGCCAGCCCAGACCTGGCCTTTTTAACAAGTCAATGCCATGGAGAGAAAAAGAGAAGGGGATGGAGGCGGGTAGAAAAGAGGGAGAGAGACAGAGAGACTGATAGACGTAACATTCAAATGTAATACATGGTTCTTGATTTGAGACTGATTTGAAACAAACAAACAAACAAACAAAAAAGCTATAAAAGGTATTTAGGAAATTGGGGAAATTTAAACTGTAGACTGGGTATTAGATGATATTAGGATGTTATTGTTAGTTTTATAGGTGAAATAATGATATTATAGGTATATAGCAGAATATTCTAATTTTTCAAAGATATATATTGACTATTTAGGATGAAATATCATGATGTCTGTCACCTTAAAGTGGTTAAAAAAAAACCCCAAAAACAAACAAACAAAGAGGAAGCAAATATGCCTATATGTTTGTTAACTGCTGAACTAAGTACGGGGGTATGGGTATTCAATGTATTATTTTGATTTTTGGTATGACTGAAATTTTTTAATAATAATTTTTAAACTTATTCACAGGTAGCAACTTCTCAGGAACTTCCTTCACAGCACTGAGAACTCCTAATTAAAATAAGTTTTTAATATGTTCACAAATCATCCTCTATCAGCAATTTGAATCAGTCATCAGAGACAAAAGCAGTTATAAGGACACACATCACAGGTAGGAATCTTTTTTTTGTTCTTAAACTAGGTTTCTAAATTTCCTTTTCAGAAAAGACTTTTTCCGTTTACCCTTTAAAATGAAAGATCCAAAAAAATGGCTTATTTGCCTCAAGCTTGGTTCCTTTTAATTGACAGAAACCTTTCCATACACACCTCATGCAAACCCACATTAGCTTTGCCTTCCTAAAACTGGCTTTTGTCTCTGAACTTTACAGAGCAGTTGGAGCTCTTTAATATTTTCTAAGAGAAACATTTCAAACAAGTCACCCCGCAATTTATTCACTACTGCCAAGAATAAAAGTAACAGGTTTCACCACCGGGGCCCTCCAAGGACTTTTAAGGCAAAGCATCACTCATTCACCGGCAGGTTCGCTCCCTTAATGCATCTGTCATTTGTTTGGCTCTGGGGGAAACTATTTGATTACACAAAATTCTTTTTAGATCAAGTTTAAAATCTTAGCCACACTGGGACAAGTGGCGAAGCCTGCCAGCTTGATGGGTTAACACTTGGACATACTGAGCCAAGGACAAAGCTAAGGAACAACCACAGATTAAAAATCAGAAGCTTGAAGAACTGAAAAAGGAAAGAGCGTGAAAGATGCAAGGCTTGGCTGGGCCTTTCTAAGTGCTCCATTTGCCATTACGGCATGGAAGATGATTTATTCACCGTACTTCTTGTAAATGAGTGCAGTATTCTAAGGGGCGCTGGTAAGCAGCAGTAAATGCAAAAGCCACCAGGACCAGTTGCATCCATCCACTGCTGGGCACCTATGCATTTTGAACTTGGCAAGTAACCAGACATCTTTATGTCCCTCATTTCACATACTTTATTATAGGGCACATCATTTTTAAAAGCATTTAAATGAAGCAGATGTTAACCCCATTCAGTCCATTTTACCAGGGAACATGTCAAGGATGATTTTTTAAAATGCAAAAGAAAATGTCAAAGTTTTTTGTTCCCTGGTTAAGAATACATCTGTGCAATAGGAGGGAGGAAATATATAAACCACTCTATGGTCATTCAAGAAATAATTATAAGGTATGCCAAACTACAGAAAATTGAGCAAGCACTAATTTTTTTTTAAGATGTCTTGTGTCAAAATGACTTTTTCATTCACTCATTTCAAAAACAAGTTTTGAAAATTAAATTTCATCTACCGGCTCAGAACAGAACACATTAAGGCCTGACTGTAATGCCATTATCCATCCATGTGGCAGCTCCTTTTCTTTTCTGCAGCCACATTAATTGACAAAGAAGCCTTGGGGCTCACCTCCCATAGAGCCTTGAAGTCCTTCTGCTCGATGCGGAGCAGTTCACTGCTCTCCCTGGTAACGATGGTCGCATGGCGGGGTGTGTTGTCCAGAATGGACTCTCCAAAGGCTGTTCCAATTCCCAGAGTACAGATGGTCACTGCATCCTGAGAATCCCAAAAACTGGTCATTAGAAAATTAAACATTTAACGGATGGGTGAGTTGTCTTTTCTTTGAATTGAAGTATGCTTTGTACACAATAAAACGCTCGATTTAATTGCACAGTCCAACAAGTTTTGACAAACATATACACCCGTGTCATCACCACCCAAATCAAGAAAGAATATTTTCACCACCCCTGAAAGTTCTCTCTTGCCTCTTTCCATCAAGACCCTCCTTTTGGAGGTAATCAATTTATTTCTATCACCATAAAGGAGTTTTGCCAGTTTTACAACTTCATATGGAAGGAATCCGACAATATGCTCTCTTTGGTGTCTGGTTTCTTTTGCTCAACATAATGTATATAAGACGTATGCAAGTTGTTGCATGGATCAGTTGGGGTTTTTTTTCCCCCTCTTACTGATGAGTAGTCCTCCGCTGCATGGATATGCCACAATTTGCTTATCCATTCTCCTGTTGGTGAACATTTGGGTTGTTCCTAGTTTGGGGGTATTATGAATAATGCTACTAGTAATAATCTCATGCAAGTCTTTTTGTGGACAGGGTTATCTTTTTATATGACCACCATCAGGTTTAAAAAAAAGGGGGGGGAATCTTTTAAAAACATACTGAGATTATTAGTGAGGAGGTGCCGTTACAATATTTAAACAGGTAACTGGAATAGGGATGCTATTATGTCAGTCTGTCTTGAAGAGATGAGGAAACTGAAAGTCAGAGTGGTTGATTCACACAGCCCTGGTTCACACAGATAATGAGTAATGCAGTCAGATTCAAAGCACGGCTCCCTGACTATAGATTCTAAGCTTTTTGTATCATGCTGCCTCCTGCAGCCACAGCAGAGTAAAAACCGCATCTGATGAAGTGCAGGATGGCTAGTCTGTAAAAAGTCGTGAATCAATGATTTAACAGTTTCTTAAGGTGTACTAAAAAAGTAATTTCCCCTCTGCATGCAACATTGGTGATAATATTTGGATTTAATCCTAACTAGTTTCAAATAGAGCAAATAGCCACTCAAAATCACCTGGACATTAATTTTGCAAGTCATTATCAACAAAGGAGATACACAAGGGCAATCCTCGGACTTAGAAAGCACAGTTTTCCTTTCATGCATCTAAGACATGATAATAGGCAAATGTTATTAAGATCAAGTTAGCGACTCTGTAATCACATTACTAAGACAAATGCCCATAAGAACTCAGTTCCTTGAACCACAGCAAATTACTTCTGTGCAGATATTACCATATAAAATTGCAGTCACGAAAATAAAATCAATAATATCTCGGAAAAGAATAAAAGATTAGGGGAGAATTTAAGAACAGCCTGCTAATAAATTTCCCAGAAAGTCAATTGCAAACAGATTCAGTCAGAAACATATCCCCAGAAACTGAAATATCAATACTCAGGGACAAATACCTCTGAATAATTTTCAAATTCCAGTAAAAATACAAGATGGGTTATGATAAATCACAGACTTGCACAAATTCTCTAGCATATCAGGTTCCCTTGAGCATTCCACTAGCTTACTTCATTTTTATTTTTTTTTATCATTGGAACCCTTCAGAAGGATTCTTCTGCCTAATTTGTACTTTCTAGTGTTAAATTTTATTTTAAAACTTGACAGGGATGGATCATAAATATTACTCCTGCCACTATCCACATAGCTTAAATAGCTAAAGTTACGTGCAAAATGTAATGCAAAAGAACAACCAAGAGCTGTTATTCATGAGCTAGTTGTAGATTTTTATGGCTTGAACAGTCTTCTGCTTTCTCGCTTTCTACCCTTGATATATGTAGTTTGCCACCAAAAGGTATGCAAAGAAAGACACATAGACTGTGAAAGCCACACGAGCCTGTCTTCTTGCTAGTGAACAGCCCTCATAACATAGACAAAAGATTAAGACCACTCTTGGATTTCCCTGGAGAGTTTCACGTTACCCATGCCTTATCATACATAACAAAATGTAGTTATACGTTAGTGTTGCCAACTGCACTGCTCACTGTGTCAGGCCCTCTGTAAGGAGAGGCACCCAGCCCCCCGGGTCATTGATCAAGCACCCAGCTCATTTCCAGGAACCCACGCTCTCCTACCAGAACTGAGTGTGTCTGTCTGTTCTCCCTACATTTCCTCCTTCATAACTGAAATTTAAGGACAGGGAGTCACATATACAAGATAGGATCTTGAAATTAGGCCTTTAAACCTCACCTGAAAGGAGTATTACTTACAAGTTCAAACTTTTATTTCAGCAGACTTCTTATTTTTAGGACACATTTACTTAGAAATCTGAATGGATTTTGGAGGTATGGGTTGGGCACTGGGATCACTGGGCCCAGGGAAGTAGACGGTCCTAAGAAGAACATTTTTAGTCCAAACACTAATCGCTGTCTTTATAGCCCATGGTTTCTAGGCCTTACTTGCATTTGAATTCCAGACAGGGCCTTGCAAGGTGCTTAGAAAATAATTATCAAATAAGGAAATTTATATTCAAATGTTCTTTCATTCAACCAGTATACTTTGCTCAGTGTGTACCCTGAAAGGCAGGAGAAATCTAACCAGGTCCCTATAGGTCAGAATTCCAAGCCTGAAACCCTGTAGATATGCTTAATGCATGCCCTTTCCCATGGCTAAAAAGTGTCCGTTTCTGAATATAATATTACTATTTCTTTTAAGCTTACACATACTCTAGAGATCTGCTTATGCCTCAATACTTAGTGAACAGGGACTATTCAGAGTATTTTATTTTGTGCTCATTTGCAGATTCATGTTCAGAAACGGCCACCTGAAAGAAACTATTTAAAGTGACATAGAGACCGAGGAAAGCAGTCAGTAGCTACTCAGAGAATATAAAATATTATCTACAGAGAAGGAATGCCCTGTTTGGGGATAAGACGACAATTTATGTTAAGGACTTCCAAATATGAAATGAAGAACTTGAATGTCTTCAACATATGAAGGTGAGTTTAGCAGGTGCTGCTGGCGTCCTTCAAGCTTCCCACCCCCTTACACCTCTGCCCTCCCCCAAGTCATTTGGCTTTCTGGCCAGTTGCCATACGCATCTATGCTTCCTCTCTCGGGCATCTTCACTGCTCCACCTGAGGGCAGAGTGTTGGGCAGTCAATGCCTGTGAGGTGTAACCTCCACCACAGAGGCACGGGAGCAGGGGGATGAAATACCCCGGCTTTCTAACCCTACACAGTCTCCCCTGGAGGAGTGTGCACAATTGCCCGCAGTGGAAATTCTCTTACCAACACACTTTTTTGGCTTTCCTTCATTCCTTGTCTCACTTCCCCACTCCCTTACAACACTCCCTTACAACACTCCAAAAAAAAAAACCACTTGCAGCCAAATGCTTATTTCCAGGCTGGCTTTTGGGGAAATCCGAAAAACAAGAGAGGGGGTTACCCAACCATGGCTGTGAGTCCTAAATTCCACTGAGACCTCTGGGAGGTACTGAGCCAAACCAGTATTCCCAAAGGGACTTCTGTAACAGGGACAGAGGCCAGCTTATCGCTTACTGCTTTGCATCAGATACATCATAAGTGCCGTATCCCCTGGGTGACACATGGTATCCCAGTTCTTCTTCATGTGGCCAATAGTCTCGTTGCAACAGCCCTCCCGGCATCCCTCTGTTGCCATGCCTCTTTGTCAGCCCACCTTGGCGGCCCAAGTTCATCACCGGGCCTGCTGTTTGACTCCTTGCCCATGACTAGGCCACGCCCCCATCAAGTTACCACTTGTTAGACCTGCCTCTGCCCTTCACCCTGCAAACCCAGGAGCTGTGTGGCTCCCACGTTCAGCTTCCTTCCATGTCCTTCTCAGCACTGCCTGAACACGCCTCTGGATGGCTCCCACCTCCATCATGGGCGCCCCCCCCCCACCGTTTCCAGGTTCTCATCTGCCCAGCTAGGCACCAACCTGAAGCCATGAACAAATTTTGCCATAGTATGTGTTTCCGTGGGATAAGCAGAGTCTGGTTATCTCCGTTCATAAAAGTTGGTATTGGCTAAGTGAACAAAGATGTCAACAAAACTGCCCTGATGGAAGGCAGGGAGCATCAGCCAAAGGACACCCAGAGTTAGAACAGTCCATGCTTAGTGGGCAAAAGCCCCCAGAGGCAGCACAGCGAGGTGCATAGGCCTTG